GAACTGATCCAGTTATGCCAGAGTTTTGACGAGTTGCGCAGACAACGTCTTTCCACCCGACGTCCCTCTGTGCTTGACGACTCTTTGTCCAGCCTTTCCACCCTTAGCATAGGAGAAGACCATGCCCCTCTTCTCTCCAAGATCCAAGAGTTCATCCGCGCTGAGGTCGCTCGTCAGCTCTCTTTGATTTCCTGCGTTCCCGATCAACCACGCAGATTGACGTCTACACTCCGCGACTTCATTCATGACCAGGTCGCACAAGTTCTTCCTCCCGCCCGTGAACCGCCCCCTGTCGCCGCACCTCTCACGTACGCCGAGGCCGTTGCTCGACCTCGACAGCCTGCGTTCCAGCCAGTGCCTATGTATTCGCCGCCAACCTATTCACCGCCGCCTATGCCGATACCACCTTGGCCGCAGTTTTCTGCCCCCCAGCCGCAAGTCGGAGTCTACTCCGACCAATGGCGGACCTACGACAACCCTCCCATATGTTTTGCTTGTGGCAGTGTTGGCCACGTGGCACGTTATTGTCGTCGTCGCCAGGCTGCTCAGAACATTCGACGAATGCCCTCTTTCGACCCTCAGTTTTCTTCTACGCCTCCAAGCCCTCCTTCCTCTTTCTTTCCTTCTGATCGTCCACACGGCCCAACCCGCCGCTCCCCATCTCATCTCCACGCCGACGTTCGCTTTCCCCTATGCGTCGCCGTTCCGGACCCACCGACCAGGAAAACTAACGGCCGCAGTTCCCGAGGCACGAACTGCGTCCCCGTCGCCATGCACGAGTCCTCGCCCCTGTCCAGCTACCATCATTGAAGTGTCAGTCGATGGTATCATCGTCATGACGCTTGTCGACACAGGAGCCACTCTATCCGTCCATTTCATCAACCTGTGCCGCAAACTCCGCAAAGTTCTGACGCTGTTATCCCGCCTCTCTCTTAGAACGGCTAACGCACAAAGTGTAACACCTCTCGCAGCCTGTACCACACGAGTCGTCATCGAAGGAATTGTGTATATCGTCGAACTCGTAGTGCTGCCCTTGTGTTCCCATGGCATGATACTCGGCTGGGATTTCCTTGCGAATAATAATGCCGTCATTGACTGCTGTCGCGCTGAACTTGAGCTATCTGCACTTCCTGATGTTGACGCTGTCGAAGCCTCCCTGCCGTGTTATAAACTGTTTGTTTCCGACGACACCACCGTACCACCGCGCTCTTCTCTGCTGGTGACTGTGTCGTGTGACGCTATTTCCGACGGTGATGTTTTATTTACGCCCTCTGCCCTGTTCATTCAACGCAAATGTTCTCCACTTTCGTTGCTCTCCTGACTCTCCACCATGGCGTCACGAAGACGCTCATGTACAATACGCTAGAAGGGCCTTTACCTTTATTCTATGGTGAATGTCTCGGTCACGTGCATCCGATCGACGCCCATCACATTTTTGACGCTCCATCTAGTTTACTTTCTACGGACCTCAGCGCACTCATTTCTGATTCTGTTGTTGACCAGTCACTCCTTGACGCTTTCCACCGCTCCATCGATGTCGCAACGTCTTCTTCAGAACGAAGCCAGTTAGTGAACCTGCTGCAAAAGGTTCGTACTTCTTTTGACAGCCACGCTTCGGGCCTCAGTCGCACATCGAACATATCTCACAAGATTGACACAGGAAGCCATACACCTCTACGACAGCGCCCCTACCGAGTCTCAGCGTCGGAGCGCCGTGTTATTGACGACCAGGTTACTGAAATGCTCCAGCAGGGTATTGTACAGCCTTCTAACAGTCCCTGGGCGTCACCGGTCATTCTTGTTAAGAAGAAGGACGGCTCCATTCGGTTCTGTGTGGATTATCGACGTTTAAACAAGATCACCCATGAGGACGTTTACCCGTTACCGCGAATAGACGATGCCCATGACTATTTGCAGGGAGCAGAATACTTCTCTTCGCTGGATTTACGGTCTGGATACTGGCAAGTTCCTATGGAAGCATGTGACCGACCGAAAACAGCATTTGTCACACCTGATGGATTATACGAATTTACTGTTATGCCTTTCGGTCTTTGTAACGCTCCAGCCACTTTGAAAGAATGATGGACACCATTTTACGAGGCCTCAAGTGGAACACATGTTTATGCTAGCTCGATGACGTAGTTGTCTTTTCCACTGATTTCGACACCCATTTAAATCGTCTCGAGCACCTCCTCACACGTCTCACCGACACCGGCCTTCAACTCAACCTCAAGAAGTGTCGTTTTGGTGCCCGGCAGCTCACCATTCTTGGCCACGTCGAATCACGGGACGGCATACTTCCCGACACCGCCAAGCTTCGAGCAGTCGCCGATTTTCCGAAGCCAAAGAACTTGAAGGAACTTAGAAGTTTTGTCAGCTTGTCGTCATACTTCTGACGCTTTATTAGAAATTTTGCTTCCGTATGTGCGCCCTTTACGGACCTTCTTAGCGGCGACAAGGACCTTTCCACCTGGTCACCAGCATGCGACGATGCATTCACCAAATTACGCCACCTGCTGACTTCACCACCCATCCTCCGCCACTACGATCCTGCCGCTCCCACGGAGGTTCATACTGATGCCAGCGGTGTTGGACTTGGCACTGTGCACGTGCAACGAAAGGCAGGGTTTGATGAATATGTCGTCGCCTACGCAAGCCGAACTTTGACGAAAGCCGAGGCTAACTACTCCGTGACCGAGAAAGAGTGTTTAGCTATTATTTGGGCCCTTATATATATATGTATATTATATATATATATATATATATATATATATATATATAATGCAAACAAGTGTATACTTAAGGGCTCGTTTATCGTGTTTTACACAATATTAATGAGATCTAACAGACAATAATGCCAAGGAAGATATAGAGAAAGTAATTAGGCCAATTGTAATGTAAATGAGAAGAAAAAAAGTGGGTGAAAAGATAACTTGCCGTGGGCAGGATCCGAACCTGCGACCTTCGAATAACGCGTTCGATGATCTACCACTGAGCTACCACGACAGCTATCCCCCAGCCATTTTGCAGGGTATCTATGTCAATTTAAATGTAGTAGTGTCAGTCAGCACCACCAGTAGCCATGGCGGCGAGTGTGGCACACTCTTTATGAGCCTGTTTGGCGTCACATAGCACGTGAATTTATTACTAACTGGCAGCTGACCAATAGACCCCGTATACAACCTATAGGCACCAAGTCTGCCAGCCGAGTACCTTAGCCACTAGACCACCGCGGCAGGGGACCTTCAATGTTCAAACGACGGGCTATTTATATTGGAGCTCCACGTGTTCTGCTCAGCGACCGTGGCAAGGTCTATCTTTCCTGTATTGTTGCTGAGGTTCTACGCGCCACCAACATCATCCACAAAACAACTTCTACTTATCATCCACAAACAAGTGGCTTGATGGAACGCTTTCATCGTACCCTCTCGGACATGATTGCCATGTACGTTAACCCTGATTACACGAACTGGGGTGCCATTTTGCCATTCTTCCTCATAATATCTACTATTTTCTCATGATGACGGGCATGTCGGGGGGGAGATACCACGCTTTTAACATCACCAGCAAGAAGGCGCAACGAGTGCGCGTCGCCAGACCATCACGACCGGCCTTGTGCGCTCTCATTTGCCACGCATACTTTTCCCCGCGGAGAGTAGAGGTACACACTCATTCACACGCCCTTATCTCTCGGTAAGGAGGATTTTAAGAACACAAGGGTTATGGCTGACGTTTGGCATTCACCGGGGCGATTCTGTTATAATTACCGGGCGCACAGTGGTTACTGAAATTATTGAAGAGTCTCCGTTTGCGAAAATAGCGCGCATTTCAAACACAGCAAAGTAACCAATGAGATGCTTATTCGCGTTCATCTGTGCCTGCGAGTACGTTTCATGCGTTATTTGTGCGTGAAAAACGCACGCCACGTTTTGATCTCCTTGCCATTTTTCGCATCGCCTTCCAATTTATTGCTATTGCGTTAATTGCTCCACCTCTGCAGTAAAGTTGCACCTTTTTTTTTCACATTCAAGCGCAGTTTATTTTGCTTTACTTATTTCGAAGGTGGCTTAGATAGTTACTTTCGTTCATTTCAAGTGATAATAAATTGTCTGATGTAAAGAAAATATTCGTATCGTCAGCGTACATAATGAGCTCCGGGGAATGAGCTATATCGACACTGCACTGCAGGGTGCCTCACATCCTGACTTGGAAGGGCAATGCAGGGATTCAACGGCATTCAGCAGCCCCGATCTGATAGTGTACACCCTGGTTGATCTATGGGAAGGTAGCGGCCTTCTCTTTCTACTCTCTCCGTTCGCTACCCATTCACCTGCGTCATGCTCTCTTGAGGGCTCCCTAACCAGGCGTACAGACATACCTGTCTCTGTCAGCGAAAAAGTGGCGCCCGCGCAGCACGCTGTCGCCCGTCGACCGACGACATTATGAGTAAGGTGTGTGGTAAGCGCCTCCACAAACACCATAATCGGCATGAGATCGCTAATAAGCTCAAGTCTGTCTGCCGCAATTGCTGCGCAACAAACCCAAGCATCAATACAATACCTGCCACAGAGCACACTTTCCACGTCCACTATGCTCGTTCAGAATATTTTTAATCATAACTCGAAATGGCTTAAATTAGTTACATCAGAACAATCGGTGACGCACCGGTGAAAGTGTTGCCGCTCCTGCTACACAAGCTGCCCTAGAAGAAGCTTAGTGAAGGGGACGCCAGGATATGGGAGTTCCGGCTACCGACGCAAAACTTGACCCAAGCCACTGAGACATAGATGCGTTTCTCTCTAAATTTGCTTGCCTCATATATTACAAAATAAAAACCTCAGAACAGCTACTTCCAAACATCAAATGATCGGGAATCGCAATAGTCCCAGGTCTCTTCTTTTATTTTCTGCAAGAGCGTGAGGCAAATTAATTACATCTGGAAATCTTCCCAGCTCAGTGCAAGCAATCTATAAAGAAAACTGGCGGCTGCACGTACTCACCAGTCCAGACTCAAAACGCAGCATGCTGGCAGCCAGGTAACGGTCCTTGTGGGTCAGACAGTAGAGAAAAGTGGCTCCCATCCGCATGGCCTGTACAGTAAAAGCCATGGCAGTGTTGCATGCGCACAGGTTGCAGCTCTGCCACCCAAAAGATCGGTATATCACAGGGGAACACTCCCTATGAAACCCACATGATCGATAGTTTGCAGACGGCAAATGCTTCTTGGAGAAAAAAAAATCACCCGCCGTAAGTATCACATGAAATGAGTTTCCAGCGAAGCGGCTGAAAATCGGCACTGTACCACTACTGAACCAACATGCAAGTGCTGCACAAGGATACATGACATGCACACATCTTTCAATTCCTTACGAATTATCCGTTTTAGGATATGTGCCACCTCATCCAGTGGCGTGGGAAGTGAAGGCGGGTGACATAGAGCGTTAGCGTGCTTGTTTAGCCACTTGATTATGCATGCCCAGTAGTAAGCAGGTAACGTCCACATGTTCGAATAACTCAGCTGGAGAATGAAGACCTTGCTATCAGTCATAGGGTGTTTTTTTTTAATTTTTACGCATGCAGTATAAAATATATGCTATAAGCTTTCCACATAACGAAAGTACTCTGATAGAGCTGTCATGCCTAAGCACTCTTTCTCGTTGTCAACCAGGAAGCACTCTTTCTACATAGACAACCTTAATGACGATGCAACAGTTGTCAGTACTGACAAATCTATCGATGCAATAACTAATAAATTGTCCCTAGATTTCAGTAACATTCATGACTGGTGCAAAGCTAATGGTTTAAAAATAATTACCAATAAAACAGAGTTCATTGTCTTCCATTCAAGTCATAACAGCCTTTCACATACACCCGTATATCTACAAGTGACCACAGCCTTCTTAATACTGATTAGTCAACTCTTTTGGGGAGTGAACCTGGTTGTTCATCTCAAGTTAACCAACCGCATTTCACATGTAAGACAAAAGATAACTCATCGCATGGGAACATTAAACATGACCATTCTTCACCTTGCAGACATTGCTTAAACTGTACTACACCTTCAGCCCCAGTAATTCCCATCCTAACATTCAGTTCGCCGATACCTTGCGCGTCTTCACTTGTTCAGCAACATTATATACTAACCGTATACGTAACTTATGGAAGTATAAACTGGGGATTCTCCGTTTTAGGTGTCTTGACATTACCACAATAGCCAATGTCTTCCAGACATTGAATTTGTTGAACTCAAATGCCATTAGGTTTGACTCGAACAACTTTTCACTGCCACATGTACAAACGTACTAACTACGGCAAACATACAGCCACATTTGCAGCTATAAGATTCTAGAGCTTAGTAGCACTCAGCACTAAGTAATTACCATCAGGGATGTTTAGAAATAAGTTATTCATCTTATTGTTCACTCATACGTGATCCACGTTTCTAAATCTTCGTTTTCATACATCAAGAATGAGTACTGTGGTCGCTGCTGTTGTATTTATTACTAATAGGCCTTTGCGTTGTTTCCAATATGTATATTTACTCACCATGGTTCTCTTGCCATTTCTACTGCATTTTGTGTGGTATGTTGTTGTCGTTTATATAACCAAGTATAATTACTTAACGATGTCTAATTGTCACTGCCACTTATATTGTATGTTTGTGTTCTTTTTACAACTATGAATACTTATTTAATGATGTTTTGTGGCAGTTATTTGTGCTTACCAATATGTATTTGCTGACAGTAAGTCCCTTTCAGCTGTGTGCTACGAGACCTCCTTCTTCATATCCTACTCCCATTGTGCTTACACTTTTGGTACGAATAAAAAATTGCTTGAATAGTTGTGCTTAACTGGCGAGAGAAAAATGAATATAAACTACAAAAATGTTGGAGAACAAAAACTTGGGTAGTATCACGCTAGAGCTCAAAGAAAATGTGGAGTTGGGCCGTGCTTATTTTTCTGCATATTTGCTCACAATGAACGTTTGTTTTCTTTCTGAATAAACAGGTCAGGGCAACGCAAATGCCTGCTAGCACCTGAACATGCGCAGAATGGCGGAAAAGAACGAACGTATCTGCACATGCCCGAGCAATGTGCAACTCTATTAGTCTGCCACACGTGGGGTTATACGAAAAGATAACTGCTAACGTAATTTATTTCAGACTTAGGCAAGTTCATCGATGATTGGCTCAAGCACGCGCTACGCTACTATCGTCATGCCATTGATTGATTGATTGATATGTGGGGTTTACGCCCCAAAACCACCCTATGATTATGAGAGACGCCATAGTGGAGGACTTCGGTAATTTCGAGAGCCTGGTGTTCTTTAACGTGTACCCAAATCTGAGCACACGGGCCTACAACATTTTCGCCTCCATCGGAAATGCAGCCGCCGAAGCCGGGATTCGATCCCGCAATCGGCGGGTCAGCAGCCGAGTACCTTAGCCACTAGACCACCACGACGGGGCATCTCGTCATGCCATAGCTGAATCATCAGACGCGTTTCTTCATTTCTAAGCCGGTACAAAACTGCGAATTCATCTAAAACTGGCGTGCACTTACAGTTTCGACAGTGTGAAGAGAGACTTTAGAGGGTGAGCCATTGGTTAGCAATCCATTGCGTTCCAATAACCTCTAGTTAATGCACCGTCCCGTTTGTCCAATGTACAAGCGGCTGCAGATGAAGGCGAACTTAAAAACTACACTAGTGCGACAGTCTGTGATTTCATTGGTGCGCATTACAAAACAAATATTGGTGCGCTTTTTGTCTAATATATGGAAGGCATGAAGGAACGACGACAAGAAAGGACTGGCGCCACTGTGTACAGCCCAAGAACACGTTTTAGTTAACCGCTTCTGGTCCTTTACTCTCTCATTCTTTCCCTGCACAGCAGCACAAATGTTACGTAGCTTATGGGCGGCCGCAAAAACAAAATCCCCACCCCATCTACATCCTACTTTCTTTAAACTCTGATGCATGCACTGAATGTATGATATACCTACGACACGTTTCTACTTAATTTTTTATTTATTTATGCAATACTGCAGACCCTAATGGGTCCACGCAGGAAGGCAGTAGATAAATACATACACTCGTGACTAATATTCAGATAGAAATGACAAAAGTATTGTCACAATCTTCGTTATCACATTCCGCTCTCGGACTTGCTATAACTGACTTCTTTAACCGTCCAGTGATTGTTCACTGCATGAAGAGAATATCATGCCTAACCTGTGCGTTAAAACTGTCACTCATTTTTTTCTTACATGACTTCATGAGGGCCGACTTAATTAAGGCAGGACATGTCTATACCATTTTTTTTACATTCTTTGAGCGCTTCGAGAAGAAATTTATTAGCAGTTTTGAAGATATCGGGAAATGGCGCCAGCAAACAAGGTTCTCATGACATGTTCAGGAAATGTCCACAAATCGTATTACACTATTTCGAGACCATTCTTAGACAAACTTCAGCCCTCCACCATTTAATTCGAATTCTTCGCTCACATGAGTTTCCATGGTTGCTAAATTCTCATCATTACAAAAATTATGTAATCATCCACGTAAAGAAATACTTTAAAATCGAATTACTTTGGGTGCCTTCCAAACATCTGTCAATCTTGCTAAGATACAAATCACTAAAAAGAGGAGCTGCCTTAGAACAAATACATTATCCCGATTTCTGCACATGGACGCTTTGCTTCCAAGCAACAAGCATTGGCCTAAATGCATGAAAAGAATTTCTAAAAATACGCCTCAAAACAACACATTTATTGGTGAAATCCGTCTCATACCCTTGTTTAATTATACAGTCATTGACACATCTTCAGAAGTCCTCATCCGGCAAACAGTGATTGAAGCATCCATCTCGGTGGAACAGTGGCTCGAATGCTCGGCTGTTTACCCAAACGTCGCGGATTCGATCTTGACCATGGCGGTCGCATTTCAGTGTAGGCTAAATGGTAGAGGCTCGTGTACTGTACGATGTCAGTGCACGTTAAAAAACACCAGATGATGGGAATTTCCGGAGACCTCCACTACGGCGTCTTTGATAATCATATCGTAGTTTTGAGACATTAAACCTCATGTATAGAATTATAAACAGTAATAAAGATCTGTAGTATCCCTACTAAAGTCTTTACAGCCGCCGAGGTTATCTTCTGAAAGGAATGAAACCAGTGCCTGAAAACTACATAACGAAAAGGGTATAAAAATAAAAGAGGATAACCAGTTCTCCAAATAACTAGAAACATCGACTTACCAGGGGCCTTTTTTGAAACAATCGCTAGGAAAGGAATCTCATTCTGATGTGTTTTCGCTGAAACAAAAAACACTTCTAAGGCATGCGATTAAGCATCTTGACACTGGAAGCTATTCTCTTAAAGTTTGGTTTAAAGAAAACTCGACACAACGTTTCCTAAATCTATTGATAGTTTGAGTGTTATCGCCCTAAAGCTCTTTTTCATGGCTGTTAATTTCCTCTCCAGAAAATACTGTCTGGAATAATCACGAAATGCCTTTCCTTACACGAAATTAGTGGCCTGAGCTTGTTCTGCAGAAAATAATTAACCAAAGGCCAGATACGGTCATATTACATCCGGTGTATATTACAGGTATATATTACATCCCGTGGTACTATAACAATGCCTGCAGTCTCAAATGAAGTGCCAGTGCTCTTCTTCGAAAACTAGTAGGCGCAAACTTAACACGTCTATTGGCCTGAAGTTTCGTTCAAAACATGGTGCTAGGTCTAATGCTAGCGTTTTGCAGTGCTGTCATCTCAACTCCTCCGAGAACTAGCAAGCTATATTGTGGTGAAACAGTATAAGAAAATCTTCCTCTTACATGATAGGAGTTCTCGTTTTACCCTCCATTTAAATTCCTCCTGCTGGTTAGCTAGCCTCATCCAGTCGGCGTACAGCTGTTTTTGGCCGAGATCGTGGAGTAAAGCAACAGACCATGAGACATTCTTGATAGGACGCAGAGTTTTCGCAGGCAGTATGCGCACCTTCCGTTGTTGGTAGGCGTCTGTGGTGCATGTCACGACTTCTTTCAAGCACGCGTGTTTGTGCGCGCTGTTTTCTTTAATGATTACGTCACGATTAGCTCATCTCTAAGTTATTGTTCTCTCTCTGTTTTTTACATCATTCTTTCTCTTTTTACTTCAATTTATTTCTCTTTCTATATTTTTTTATTTCTCCTTTCTTTCTTAGGGTTTTTCTTTCAGTCTTTTATCTAATTGTATGTATCTGCGCATTTCGTTCTCATATGCTTCCCTCCTTTCGCTGCTCACCCTTGCTAAACGATACTGTGCAAGGCGAGCATGGGCTCTTGGCGAGCATGGGCTCTTGGCGAGCATGGCCAGTCGAGCGCTGAAGGCACTCCCCTTCGAATCACGCTCTTCGTTCTTGCTTTCGCTAAGCGCCCCCTCAAAGTGCGTATCAGACAGTAAACCCAGAGAGGCGCCACGTGGAAGGTGAACAGCGGACCTGAGCGACAGGAGGTAATCTTTCCACCAGTGCTTCCAAAAGTGATTTTAACCTTTCATTTCTGTGTCTCCACCTCTTGTTGAATCCACCTTCTTCTCGGAAGATGGAATATGACTAATTCTAGTCTTTCCGATTTCGTTGAGACAGAGGTATTAGAGATGTCTTCCCAAATGAAGGTAGGATGACTACTCCCCCATCCGTTATAACTCTTATGTAGCCGCAACGTTCCTTTACGACAACCCATAGTCTGAAAGATACTGAGAGAATCACCAGACAGCGAAACCAGAAAGACACTACGTGGAAAGTGAACATGTAAAGAAAATACACAACATACGATATTTCGAATCCCTCCACCTCAAGCGACAAGGTTTTATTATAACTTCTTTCCTCTCTGTCGCACTGTTTCCTTCTCTCTCTCTCTTTACGCATTCTCTCGCTCAGTCCACACCGTAGAAATCGGCGCACATGTTTTGCGAGCTAAGAACAGGGCGAAGAGACCGATTCATGGTGACAATATTTCCTGGTCGCACTAGCCGGCGCAACAAAGGCCCTTAAGAGCTTAAAGAGAAACGCTCCGTTGTCTACCTTTCAAGGTGAGGCAGCACAAAATTGGAAAGAGATTCAATGAATGCTGGCACGGTAACAGTCGCTCGCACATGCTCAAATCCCACAAGGCCAGCATTGCCTTGAAGGCTGCCGGACGGTAAAACCAGTGCTCGTCATAACAGAGATGGACAGCTATCAAGGCATTCCAAGGTTAAACGTGGAACCCTTTGTTGGTGAGAGTGATTAAGCATCACAGTAGTAACAACCGATTCCTCCACCATAACGCGAGCGTACGATGCAATGCTGATAAGATGGGCTGAATACGCATACGTTTCGCACTTTCCCCACAGTTCAAAAGGCTGCACGAAGTAAACAAGCACAAAAATCACGCAGGAATTGCCGACTGCTCGGTTTATTGCAAGGGGCGTACATTGCAAATGAAAATACGAGGAAGGGTAACACAAGAAATCTTCTGGCGGCACTTCCATTCAGCGGTGCATTAAGGTTTAGTCACAAAAGATTATTTTGGAAATAGCTACACACCTAGTATGTTAGATTCATTGAGGACACCCTTACACATGCTTCGTCTTTATTTTTCATCGCTAAAGCCTTGCAGACCTCACTTGCAGTCTGCTCTTTGTACGAGCGAAGTGCGCCCGGGTCTCCTGAAAAAACATGGCCTGCTGCTACACTTCGCACAATGAATGGACAAATTGCTGCCGCTTCTTGCCTTGAAGTTGTTCGCGCCAACGGTCATTATAGACGCTTCCGCAGGTTGTAGTGTACGACTTCACACAGGCAAGGGGCATAGTTCTTCGCACCCTTTTACAGCGAAACTTGTTTTAAGAAATCACAGCAAGGGCTGCGTGCGCCGAAGTTGTCAGACGTCACCACCGTCACTGTCGTTGATGCCCGTAACCACTATCATGCGAAATATTAAAAGAACTAAGTACATGCCATACACCAAGTAGGCAATAAGATTAGAACCTGGGTCTCCTGCATGCCAGCCCAATATTTTACTACAGCGTCATGTCGCAATGTGAAATTCCGTTGCAAACTGGCCTTAGGCAGGCTTGATGCCAGAAAAGGAATTGAATTAATGTGCGCAATAAAAATTTAAGGACAGCAAAGGACCACCTAAGCGTAACGTAATGCTAATTGCGTAACGCATTGGTCGTCGAATGGTCCAAGCTCTTACAATAGAGCGAGGCATAATTCTTCGCTGTCGTCAGTCGCAACACAAAAAAGAAAATTCCACAAAATGTCTAGCACGTGTGTGCCATGCTTTTCCAAAGAATGACAAATGATGGCATAGTAAATGCCTTCCCACTACACAAAAATGATGATGATTTACTAGTACTCTTAGCATACTTGCAGAGTACTATTAGTACTCTGCAAGTGTGTTATAGCAGTTACCAACGAAGTGTTTAAAAAAGGCTCTGAATAATCACTCTTCTAGCTTTCGCACTGACTGTGGTGCGTGTCCCCCACAGGCCTGGCGGTGTTTTGTACAACGATTGCTTGCTTGATTAATGCGAAAATGCCGCAGTCCGGCATCGATACCGTGACCCTCGCACCAGCAGTCGAGCAACATAGCCACCATGGAGGGTAATTCAATAAAACATTCTGAGTGATATCACAGCAACAGCCCAATCGGTCTTCCTTTGCAAGCACGATCTGAGCAAACGCACCTTGATACGAGCAGAGGAGTTCCACTCTCGGCACAGCGATTCGGCACGGGTGTCTTTCCACGAGATGAACTTGTGCAAAAGCTGGCCCGTGCTCCTGCGAAAAGTAACAGCACTTTATTCACAGTAAGAACAATACGTACAGGGCTCACTGCAGGCCCCTGACAAAGGCCCCTGTCCCTCCGCAGATCACAGCGAAAAGCAATATTCAATACATTGGTTTCAGAGAAATTCACAACAAACAACTTGCACGTGTACATCTAAAATTCACATACAAACAAAAGAACAAGTTTTCACAACACGTTTTAAGAGTTAAAGGTCACTTTTAAAAAATACACAATCAAATAAAATTGACAAAAAGTTTCAGAAACTGAAAAACGCATGATGGACATGTATGCGCCGAGATTACAAATGTAGTCTAAACACAAATTTATGAATGATTTCGGGGTTGGGCAAAACATGAAACTCCACTAATTAGTTTTTATAAAGTGTACTGGTTGCCAGTAATCAGTTATTTGTTTTAAACGCAGCTCTGTCAGCCATAAATTTCAATTGATCTGCAAGGGCAATAAACATATGAGGCATGTGGTACGCAACACTTTTTTTCCCATGCTTGGTTCTTATTCTATATGCTCGTTTTTGTTCTCACGAACGGTAATGCTGGTGCAACTTTCCTCATATAGCTCATTCATTTGAAATAACTGAATCAATTTAAAGTGCTACTATTGTGCCACCAATCGTCCTTTGTGCTACCATTGTGGCGAAGTTGGACACATGTATCACGACTGTTACTACTGACAAATATTACTACCGACGAGGATTTCACACAGATGCCTGCTCACCGCGCTATGGCAAGCACCTGCAAGAAATTGAAGAATACCTGGAAAGTTGTCATCACGCTCCTGCCCTACAGCGATGACAGTCACGATCGCCATCACCCCATCCGTCCGCACCAACACATGCACGCGAGCGGCTTCTGAGTCCCTGTAGTGTTAGTAGCACAGGTTCACACCGGGGAAACAGAAAACGCGACCTCCGGCGCCACTGTCACGCGAACTGACAAATACCTTCCTCCCATGCCATTCCACCACAACGTACCGTAAAAACTTGTTTCTGAAACCGCCAACAGAACTTCCGCTGTCATTACCGCTTTAGTTTACTGTTATCCAGTGACTTAACTAGTCCGTACGGGCGCTGATTACTCGGGGATGCACACTTCGTTGGCTACCTGTCAGCGCAAGGTTCTGACAACGTGGGACGGCCCACACCTAATCACCACTGAAGGACACCTGTATCACCTATAGGAAGGGGCACCACCAGGCTTGAGATTTGTGCATCGCTTTTCGTGGCAAGATTTTGCAGTACTGCCCATTTGGTCTCGGCCAATCATTGTGGACTTGAATTTTTTTCAAGAGTATGGAGAGATTATTTCTCTGCGTGATTTGTTCGTCAGTTTCGCTAACGCCATTTCTCCAGATTCGGACATCAAGAACGCACATCTTGGTGTGGCCTTACCCGTAGATGACAATTGCACCACGTTTCCGCATCGCAGTGATATTTTCATCCTTGTTGAGTGCCCGCAGAGCCAGTCAAACACAAGCATCATCGAAAGTAACCTCACGTTATTGCTTGATCGGGAAGTTGTCATCGCTCAATGTCTAGGTGAGCTACAAACTGGCCACATAATGCTTTTAGTTATGAGCTTCAGTGGCGATTAAAGGCATTTTGCGAAACGCACCATCGTACATTGCTTGGAAGCACTGGATGAGTTTGTCGGAGCTAACACGGGAAAGATCCAGCCCTGAAAGCGTTCAGTTTTCTAACTGATTTTTTTTTATTATCGCGCTGCACCCGCCACGCGGCCCAAATGCCAACTTCTTCTTCCTTGACGAGCGGCGCATTGAGGCACTACAGGGCTCCCCCTCGTAGAGCGAGAGCCATAGGAATGACCAGAGGAGTCGCCCAGTGGACATGCTTGGATTTTGGCATCCAGACTTTAGATTGAAACCCCGCGGCCGCGAGAGCGGCGATATACGCAGGTTTTAGTCGATCAGCAGCCACGACGTCTTCACGGCCATTGATGTCCAGCGTGAACGTCTTAGGTGTACGATGGAGTACGCGGAATGGGCCATCATAGGCTGGTGTTAGTGATGGCCGTATTTGGTCACGCCAAACGAAGACGTGACTGCAGTCATGCAGATCCTGACTGACGAAGACAGACTGGGGGTGTCGGTCGGCAGGAATCACAGGAGCAAGGTCCCAAAACGTGGTGCGCAGCTCTCGATTGTACGTGGAGGCATCATGAGTGGAAGGTGGCGATGATGGCTCGAAGAATTCTCCTGGAAGACACAGGGAAATGCCATAGACTAGTTCGGCTGATGAGCAGCCGAGATCCACTTTCAATGCTGATCGGATGCCCAGAAGTACAAGGGGAGGTGGTCGAGCCAACGTTCCCTTGGCTGGTGAGCAGTGAGGGCAGCTTTCAGTTGTCGATGAAGCCGTTCGACCGTGCCATTGGCAGAAGGATGGTAGGCAGTTGTGTGGATGTGTCGAATGCCCAGGATATTGGCAAGTGCGGTAAAAAGGGCCGATTCAAACTGACGACCGCGATCAGTGGTGACGACAGAAGGGCATCCAAAGCGCGACACCCAGCCGTTTGTGAAAGCCTTGGCAACTGTTGGTGCTGTAACGTCAGAAATGGGAAACGCTTCCGGCCATCTGGTGAAGTGATCCACACATGTCAGCAGGTAACAGGCTCCTTGCGATGACCGAAGAGGATCGACGATGTCGAGATGGACGTGAGAAAACCTTGCGTCTGGAGGCCGAAACCGAGATGTTGCCGTAACAGTGTGACTGTGAACTTTAACGCGCTGGCACTCAAGGCAGGTTAGCACCCAGCGTCGGACATCAGCATTGATGCTTGGCCATAGGAAACGAGATGTGACTAGCTTCTGGGTCGCACAAATACCAGGATGGCTTATGCTGTGCAATTGATCAAAAATTGCACGACGAAAAGCTGAAGGCACGAAGGGCCGAGGGACACCAGTAGACGTTTCGCACGTTATTAATGAGGTAAAAAATGGAAGTGGGCACTCCGTGAACGATAGAGACATGGATTAAGAGCGAAGACGATGCAGCTCAGGATCGTTGCTTTGGGCAGCTGCTAGTTCTTCCATGTCTAGTGGTGGCTGGGTCGACAAGTGTAAGGAAAGGACACAAAAGTGCTGTGTTTAGGTACGATTTGTGGCTAAAAGGACTTAAAAGTGCCGAGGAACGTCAAACCAAAACTGAAGAAGACGAGCGGAGGGCAGGTGGCACGAAGGCGATAACAAGAAATGGAAAAGAAAAGGAGAAGAAGAAGGAACGTGCGAAAAAAGAGCTCGAGGGTTGAGGCCACGAAGGCAGACGAAGCAGTGCGCCGCTCAAGAGGACGAGTTCCTGGGAGCGTTCCTGAGCCGGACGTGGGACCCGTACGTGTCGGCCAGGTCGAGCTCCGGTGTGTTCGTTCGGGGTTGAGTCCGCCGGCCTGTACAAGGTGCAAGGACGGGGCCTGCTGAACGGCTCCTGCCTGGGTGCAGTGGCCGGGAGCAGGTTCGTGGGCGAGGCCTACCGGGCGTGGTCCTCGTGAGCCGTGGCCTGACCCTGGGCCTTAGGAGTTGCGACCCTGACTGCTGGGCTGGCCGCGACGTCCGACTAAACGGCGCTGCACACGGTAGCGCATCCGTGTGCCGTCAGTCGTTCCAGCCGTGCCACCTTTGCCCTCGCGCACGTCGACAACCACATCATGTCGGGACGACGGGGACCCAAACTGTGAGGCAGCGGTTTCTGTTTGCGAACCGAGAACTATACGCGCTGAACACTGAGTAAGCATAGCCGCGAGCTCTCCGCATAATAGAGGTCTGACTCTCGTGCAGGTGGCGTGATGCTTGGCGTGTAGGGTTGTATATATAGTTTTATTTTCACCTGCCAATTCCTCTCTAGTGTGCAATATAAAGCTTCTTTTGTTCGCATCAATTGTTGATGTTAATCCTTTTTCGTCCGCTATCGACAAGCATAGTGACGAACGTCCTTAACCATCACAATTTCTGGCATCCGCGACAGGACTAAGCTCTCGCCTTACATCTGAGAGCCTCACGTTGTTTGTGTGTGGCGGACGAGGATGGACGAAAAGAAAAAGCTAGTTGAGCTAGGGAAGGAGATGGGGCTGAGTGGTGAGGCTTTACGGGCATGGGTGAGCACTGAGGAAAAAGAAATGAGGGACCAGAGAGCGAAAGATCGAGAGGAGGCACGGCTAGCAGCACAGGTGGAGCATGAGCGTGAAATAGCTCGCATGGAGGCTGAAAGGCTCCTGCTCGAGGAGCGACGTCGTGTCGCAGAAGCGCAGCGGCCGAGCGTGAGTTCTGCGGACGATAGTATGGGTGGTGGTCAGAGTTTTCGCAGCCCACACAAAATGATTCCGCCCTACAAGGAGAGTAGGGACGAACTGGATGCGTACATCCAGAGGTTTGAGAGGGTTGCCATGAGCCAAGGCTGGCCAATTGACAAGTGGGCCCTGTCACTGAGCTTGTGTCTAATGGGAGAAGCCTTGACCGTGGTAGGATGGATGTCTGCAGAAGACTCTACGGACTACGCAAAGCTCAAGCAGACGCTCCTCCAGCGGTTCCGTTATACAGAGGAGGGATACCGCACGAAGTTTAGGGATGCCCGGCTTGAGAATACTGAGACAGGTCGACAGTTCGCGGGACGTCTCTGTGGATACTTCGAGCATTGGCAGGAGTTGGCGAAGACTCCCAAAACATATGATGCACTGCGAGAAAAGATGGTGTCCGAGCAATTCCTCAGGCGGTGCGACGAGAAGTTGGCTGTCTTCCTAAAGGAGCGAGGATGTCATAACCTGGATACGTTGGCAACGACGGCTGATCAATATTTGGAAGCTCAGGGAATTGTGAATCTCGCTAGAGGAAAAGACGAAAAAGGGAAACCGATGGCTACAGCTAAAGTTGACACTGTCAGCGAAAACAAAGGAAAACCGCTTTGTTTTCTGTGCAACAAGCCGGGTCATCGAGCTTCCGATTGCTGGACAAAGTCTCGAGCGCC